GGGGGGGGGGGGGGAGAGCTGGGTCTGGCTCCCCTCTCCCCAGACAGGGGAGTTGGCGAGCATATGAGTAGGGGGCACTGCCCTCTAGTTTAAATGAAATAGATACATGTGGCACAGCAGATCATGACAGAAGCTGATCCCACTTAAGGAAGTCATGTCAATATCCTTGGTAGAAAGATGGTTGCTTAATAATTACTTCAGCAGAAAGTGTAGTGTGCTCCAAAAGACAGAGCCTGTGAATGGAATTCCACTTTTACTCCCACTTTTGACTAACTTGCTGTGTAACCTTGGGAATGTCACTTTACTAAAGTTAAGTACTTTGAGAGATACAGATCAAAAGCATTCTTTGAAGCGCTAATTATATGACCCAGAGTTGATTTAATATGATGCCACCCCTTGCCCTGCAGAAGAATTTAGAATTGCCCATGCTGATTCTGAAAAGTATATTTCAGGTTAAAAGCAGGACCGAACAAGTAGACACTTGAAAGAAAATAAAGTCAGCTTACATAGTTAACTAGTTATTCAGCTAACACACGGCAGGACATTTTCAGCCACAAAAAATAATTAGCCAGATACATGTTTCTCAATGTATCTATGTTAGAAAGATAAATTAAGAAACTATGACACTCTTAATACAGAGTTGAAGAAACTGTCATTATTTAATAGAGCTAGTCAAAAAAAACCTGAAGGGCAAATTTTGTTGGAAAATACAGGAAAGTTTTAAATCTGATTTTTCATTCTATTTCAGGATTAATGACATTTTTAAGTATCAAATTTTGAGTGTTGACCAGTTCTATTTAGTAGTATACAAGCAGTAACTTTGTAAAGTATTGCTGATGATAAATACATTTAAAAGGATATTATTAAAGTTGACAAAATCTGGCCCGCCTAAAAATAAACACACAAAATAATACAAAGGCACATGATAGGTATGTTTACAATATTGACACTACAAGTATAAGGGAAGACCACCAATGCAATTTTCAGCTGCTTAAATAAAAATATCACATCAGAGAGGAGGGAAGGGATAATTCTGCTTCGATAATACTGAGAGGACCACACTAATCATCTTGTGTATAAATATAGTTCTGATAAATATTCCTTTCGATGTGGCGAACAAATGTCAAGAAAACTGAGTGAATGAGAGAACAACAAGAAGGGCTAATGAACTGGGCAGACCGATGAACAGAGAAAGAAACAAATACATGTAACTGGGTTAAAATACAGCTAACGGAGGCTAGGAAAACTGTTTACATGTAACTGAAGATGACAGGTCAGAGGAAAACATGATTGTTTAGGGTGGTTTAAAGGGGATAACAAAATAATGGGATGAAAGCTAAGGAAAGCAAATTCACTGTTGCAGGGATGCTTCCTAAACACTGTATCCATCTTGTTAACTCCTGACTTTGCACCAGGAACTTCAGTGAGCATATGATCAACCCCTGAATCATTTTACTGGATGGAGAGTAGAGGAATGGTCAGAGAATAGCCCAGATGACAATCTGCATCTCTCTGATCTTTTTCTTTTTAAAAAAATATAAAAGAATGAAAACAGCTCAGATAATGCAGTAACTTGAAACCTATCTGGCTTCAGAAGAGAACTACAGACTTCATAAAGCTATATTACCTACTGTCTATTCCTGTAGAAAAAGTGACACTGAGCCAGAATGGAGAATCAGACCCTCTCAACAGAAATCTGTTCATATGCAGGGTTTCTTCAAATACACCTCCATGATTGTAATAAAAACTGTTGGTTTGTAAGATGCACTGCAAAATGATGTTACTACCAATTTATAGCCTCCTTCTCAGAGGTCTGCACGCTTGAAATTCACAAAATGCAACTCAAAAAGAAAAAAAAAATCAAGCAACAAAGATATGATAGTTAAATTAATATTTACATTAGCCAGAAGACACAAGAGCATACAAGGAGATAAAATCTGTGCTGGAAGCTATGGTACTAGAAAACGACTTGAGAAATTGGGTTCAGCTCTTGGGAACACCATTGACTGGTAAGCGATTAACTGATAAGCCTGGTCTTATCAGTTCACAGTCATGATTACACCCAGGCTGCCATGTATCAGAGACAGCAGTACAGGGGAGGCAGCCAGCTCCCTGGAAGTGGGGCTGCAGGCAAAAGCCAGCTGCTGCCCCTGATACAGAGGCAGCAGTACAGAGCAGCAGCTGGTGCGCACCGGTTTCCAGGGAGCCAGTTGACACCCTGCAGCTGCTGCCTCTATATCTGTATCAGAGGCAGCAGTACAGGGTAGTGGGCAGCTCCCCAGGAGCAGGATGGTAGGCAGGAGCCAGTGTGCACCGGAGCCAGATTAAAATCCGTCTCCTTGCACACATCAGCTGCTGCCGCCCCATGCTGTGGGTGTGGGTTACCATGTAACTGCTAAGATTTTCAGCAGTTACACATCTACCCAATTATTCACTTTAACATCCGTAGTGTGTACATCGTACCCTTACCCACTTTAGCATGAGAACTTCTGATATTGGGAAGTTAAAGGGAGACTTCACAGAGGAGGCTAATTCCCACTTCCATGCCCCTTCTCTCAATATCAATTGCCAAGTTAATTATCTTTTGCTACCACACTCACCAGCTAGTACCCAGAGGGCTTGCACGTGTGCTCTGAACTCTGGCCCTAGTGCCAAGAGATGAGATCACATGTGATGCAATTATGAACACATGCATAGGCGATTTGTGTGCCTCATAGCTCCCCACGTGTCTCTTCCCTGTCCTGCCCCCGTTCTCCCCCCAACCCCTCCCTATCACACATTACTTGAGGGAGGGTGGATGTGTTCTCCCCCTCTGCTGGCTCCCACCCCACACCTCAGCACATTCTGTGACTCTTCCTGGCAGCTACAAGCAGGCAACAAGAGCTGCCTGGTGCAGCTGCCTGGGAGAGTGCCTGGATACAAGTAGCAGGGGGCTGCCTCTTAGCAGCTATCCTGGAAGCCCTAAGCTCAGAATGGGCTCCTGCCACTGCCACCCCTTTCCAGTCAGGCTGCAGGCTCTCTTGCAAACCAGCATGCTCTGTGTGACGGCACCTTGGGGGTGCCCCGTCTCCTGCACACCGAAATGGCACAAACAGACTGCACCAGCCGATGGAACAGAGGAAGTTTATTGCCTCTCCAGGATACAGCACAGCACAGATGGAATCTGGTCACAGAGCTGGGCTAGGATGCCTCAGGCCCCCTTGAGATGGGGGAGACTGGGCCCCTAAACTCCAGCCCCTTTCCCTAGGCTGTCTCCTCCATGCTCCCAGCCCGCCACTAAACTCACTCTCTTCCAGCCCTGCCCCCCAG